CCACATTCTGTCGTAAATTGCATAGTCTCCCTTCTCAAAGCAGTAGCTAAGCTCATTTAATGGTTCTACTAACAGCCAATGATGAGACTTGCTTGAGTCATATTCACTGGAGAGTTGGGTTATAGTTAACTTTGATGGTAATATTCATTATTTTTCTTTCATGAAAGTACCTAAACAACAACTACAAATCGAATGAACGACAAATTAGAATTGGATATTACTAGGTTTCAAAACTTTCAGTAGTTGCTTATTAAGGACGCTATCACCCTGGGTCTACTAACATGAATCATAGAATTTCGCCAAACTTTAAGTTTAATGGGCTGAAGCATTAACTATTCCTTGAAAATTTAACTCATTTTCAGCCTTGAGCAACATCTACGGTAGCAGTTTCTGGAGGTTAGTTCATTTGCCAAATTTAGGGTTGTCGTACAACCCAACTTGTCTTCGTATAAAGTTCAATAAACCGTGGCAACAAATCATCCTGTTGCTTTGGTTAACAATAACTAATTGTAAATTAATGGATTATTTGTGTATAGAAATTGGTATTGCCTGTTATTTCTGTGATTTACATGGTCGCTTGTTATAGACTGAAGGGAACATAGGGCCAACAACTCATCACTTCCGTCTTGAACTGAGTAGGCGCATATGCTTGGATGTTCATTTATTCTCATTAACTCACATGACCTGACTGGTTTCCATGCTGTTTGTGCACTATTTCTTGTCGCACATATTGTCACGAGGCTTACCCCATTCGAATACGAATAAATAGTCACTCCAGACTCTGGACTGTAGAAATTGGCTTTTCTTAGTGTCATTATTTATCACCATCCGGTCGGGTCAACATGTCTGCAACCCTATTTCGTAAACAGTCAAACATAGGCGGTATGATGTAGACCTGTCCTGCCAGACTTGGTAGCCTTTCTTTCGGCAAGACCGGCTGCCTGCGTAAGCAATTCTTTGACGGTTGCCAGGCGAGAGAGCAAGTCAACTCTGCCAACCCCAGAATCAAGGCCTGTCAGGCTCGATTTGTCTGACGCATCGACGCCTATCGCATCAAACAGTAGGCTTCCTCTTTCCTGTACCTCAGCATCTTCTATTCATACCCTCGGGCTCTCTCAATCGGCCAGCTATGACCGCAATCCGGCAATCTCAGTCATGACTGAGTCGGTCGTGAAGACGGTACCAAATTGGCATCGAGTTGGGCCGGCCTCAGCGGACTTGAAGACAACTTTGCCCAAGACCAGGCAACCGAAGAGGTGGAGAAAGGAGACTGTCAAGTTTATGGGTTTTACTTGTCTGAAGTAGAAAGTGGGCGTATAAAAAGGCACCAATTGCATTGGCAACGGTAGCCCATCCCGGTCACGGACCCAGGCTGCACTGATTGACCGAGACAGATAGGACAGACGTAAAGAAGAAAGTCGCCACTGCTATGCGACTGGATTACCGGGACCGTATACGCATGAGTGACGTATTCGCAGTTGAGATGGTACAAAAGTGGAATATGGACACAAAACAGGTAGACAGACGGGAAGTAGAAGATGCCTATACTTTCGTCGACCGGTCGACAACTGCTTGTATTCTCTACCTACTGAAAACAGCCTATCTATGCCTATGCATGTATGAAGAGCTGAGATATTCCAGATAAAAAGACTGGATGGGATAGAACTCTGAGGCGGAAGAGAGAGGGCGGAGGTCACAAATGTCCTGTTGATTGAATGTCAAATCCCAATGACCTCTGGCCTCGGATACAATATTTTAGACTTATGACACTCCCTCGGATTACTATCTTGAGTCAACGGACCAAGACTTTATCACATTCAGGCGATTACTTCAATTACGCATATACACAAATATATATATATATATATAAATATATATATGCATAAAGTCAATCAGTTAGTAAACTAATGAGTTGGTCCGCCAGTAAGCTAGGTTGCAATTAATTCATCAAGGCAATTGGAAGATTGGACTCTGAAATCAGTAAGTTACTCGAACAACAATCAAGATATTCCTCCGGATTCTGTGATTCAGAAAATTTAATAATCATATTTTTATAGGGCCCAAGTCATCCACAATTTATGCAATTAACCAATCTCAATCATGTATTCAGTCGATTGGATCAATAATTACTACATCAGAATGCCGATTAATCGCACAATCATTCATTAATTCATTCAGTTAATTAGTCAGTAAGTGACTCGGCCAGTTAGTCAAATGTCTAGGAGTTTATTTGTTCGCCAATCTGTTCCTCTCAATCGCTCCAAATGCATTGAATATTTCATTTTTTCATCCAAGAGTGTATACATTCTTATATTGTTATCCAATTCATTTCTTTTCATTTGAAACTGTTGGTGGAAGAGTTTAGTAGATTGGCTTCAATAGAAAGTAAACTTACCGCCGCAACTACAAGGTTCGTCTACCAGGGAGGCCAATTTAGGAATTCTTATTTCTCGCCGATAAGCTAAAACAAAAGGAAGCTATTAAGGGATTCTTCTAAACCTAGCTCCTCTTCATTTCCACTATGCATTTTACCCTTTATTTCCTTATCTGTATGTTCATTTGAAAGTTGGGCTTACATCTATTTCTAATTTTTCAACGAGTCCGATGTGCGCTTAAGGGCACTTGTATTTGCCCTATTTTCTTCTTTTAAACAAATGGTGCTATTTTATTTCCTTTCAAAATACGTCAGCCTGCACCTGCATTGTCTGAAATCATGGATCACAGGCAATTTCGGTAAAAATCCCTTCATGGAGAAGTAGGGCTGTATGCTAAAATGACTGCCGCATGCACATGCAGAATTTCGTCCACACAATTTTTAAACATAGGGGATAATTATAGGATTTCGTATTAATTGATATGACTGGGTGCTGTTTATACGTTATTTGAAGAGTCTAGTATGACAAAACTGTATGCAATAGGGTTGTTGACTATCTATTAGTCCGACTAATATGTACATAAGTGGTTCTGAATGGGGAAATGAGCGAGAGGTCAGCCTTTTAGCACCATGCTCCTATTGTCCCTACCATCCCTCCCCTTCCCCACTTCGGCTGAAACACTCCCAAACTTCCAAGATATCTCGAAATCGGGACCCTATTTTTCAATATTTGCTGCTGGGAGCCAGCTTCTACTTCATCTCGCAACTTGACAACTTCACCGAAGCCAGTCTTAGAAGCTATTTCAATGGCCAGCACACCCGCAAATGCTGCACTCTTTCTGTGTTAGGCGTCGAAAAGGAAAATTGGCAAGCATTGACGTTTTGGGCGCAGGGTTTCATCAATTCTTATTCTTCCGGATTGAGAAATGAGCAAAATGACACAAACGAGTCCCTGAGCTTGACCTTGTTGAAGCAACCCAATTTATGATGGTCTAAAATGTCACCTTTGCCGTGAACATGGCTTATTCTTCCACGGAGAAAGGACCAATTTATTCTATCGCATTCAAGGACCGTTATTTTTAGCCTCCTGAGACTAGAAACTGCTCTCCGACGACGACAACTATTGTCTGTGTGGCTGCAGTGCCAGGCAAAATACAAGAAAATATTTTGCTTTATAGGCTTGAAAGTCGGGGCATATTTCGAGCGATTATGATAAAAAGTTAAGTAAAATATAATTTATGCCCGAATGTTGATTCAATCCATGTGTTTATGGCTGGCTAGCCCAACCTGGATGGAACTTCAGATTGACTTATAAGCAGTTGACAAGCTGGCCGTTGCCAGCACCCTCGTCAGTCAATCGAATCCATACACTTTTTGACATGCCCTTTCCGTGTAGAAGTCTGGAAATGCTACTTGCAGCCTATTCGGTTCCCTCATGTAACCCGACTTCGTATCATCTTTTAAATCACAGATATGCGAACAATCGGATCGCGAAACCGTGCTCTCTAAGAGGACACAGCAACTAAAGTATGATTGTAATGCCAATCGTTGTCTAATTAATAGACAAGACCAGTTCGGCGCAACCTCCTATCGTCATGCCACCGAATGAAATGTGAGAAAGTGGAGTCCAGCAGGCCTATCTCACCAGATTTGTTTACCTCTGCTAACCCAATCAAGCTGTATCAGTTGCTATCTCATAAAGTGTGCCCAAATCTATCAGACTCTTATTCAATGTAATCTGTTAAAACTTTGATGCTCTAAGCAACATCAAATGTTTAATTCATTGGATCACATGTGAATCAATTCGCCTAAAAATGAATAGCTTAGATTAGCCATATGGTTTATGTTGGAATAAAGAATAATGATACGAATTGGCATTTTGCAAGGCTATAATATATTGCCACTTAAAAAGGAGATAATTAAATAATGAAATGATGATGGTGACTGAGATGAGGCGGTTGCTGAATCCAGAAGAGAAATATGTCCTTAATCTATATGAGATGTATTCACCTTATTTCGTTTAAGGTGATGTAGAACTGGTAGTAGAATTTTTCGAAACTACTTATAAACGAAAAATGCCTATACTTCATCGATAATCACACCAAAGAATGTGATATGGAAAAAACCTGGCTTTCCTTGAAATCCACACTCGTGGCAATGTGGCTAAACAGTTGACGTGTGAAGCTCACATGCTGCCCTGTCACGGTTCGACTCCCGCTGGAAGTTCGAAACTGCCGACCACCCTGAATGAGAACAACTTTTGGGAAAGCAAAGCTATGTGAAATTCAATTGAATCGTCAACTTAACTCATAGCATTGTGGGAAAAATCTACTACCAGTTCTTCATCACCTTAAACG